ACAGTGCTTGATTCAAGGTCATCTCCCTGTTTCTATCTTGCTCTCTCCTTATGTACATAGGATTCCCTCTGCTTAGACACAAATCCTTATTCCTCTCTTCTCCCCTCTCTCACTTTCGTGTCTACTCTCTCTTGTGGAATTACCACTGGTAGCATTCCTGATAAGAATGAATTGATTTGTTATAGGCCGTTTTGGTCAGTCTTTTTCGATCTTGCTTTTGTGGAGAGCAGACATGGGTTTTGAATGGTACTGCAGCTCCTCTGTTTAAGGTAAGAGAAAAACAAATTTCTCACACAACAAATGTTCTACTTGTGTATTTATAATAAGACTATAGGCCAATGGTTAGGCCTACCTCTCTTATACATTTATGAAAGAGAAGTGTAGAGTAATGATTAATGAGATAAAGTATTTATTCTCTTTCTAGTGAGATATCTTTTCATATATTGGGAAGTTTGTTTCTCTATCTATCTAGCACATAGTATATTCACTTCATTAAAGTAACATTAGATATAATCAATGTGATAAGGTTATATTCATGTAAATAATTCCTGTATCTTGACTGACAAACCCTATCTTTTAGGCAACATGAGAGCACAAGAATGCATTTGGTCTGAATACTGAAAACTAGTTTGCTAGCGGATATAAAGAAGGGATTGTTCTATTAGTATATGTACATGTATCATTACTTGGTACCCTGGGTTGGTGAATACACTGACAAGAAGAGGGGGATGTTATATAGTTATTGTATGAATACCGCTTTATTAGTTTGGATCTTTGTAATATTATGAGTGATTAGAATGATGGATAATTACCAAAAGGGATAATAATATTTCTTCAAAGGCAGAGTATTATACAGTGTAATTACTCACATATTTAATTTCATTATACAGTGTAATTATATAATTTGGGAATCATTTATTCATTCATATTGTTGTGTGAAGTTGTGAACCCTGCATACAGGTAACATGCATTATACAGGGTTTGTATTGATTCTAATAAAGAGCTACTTGTTTTAAGTTACATTTTATGTTATATCTTTTCTTTCTGTTCTTTGATATATTAGTGATTTAATTGATATCCCAGAAGTAATGAGCTTTTAAATTGCCCTAAGAGTATCACTGTATTCTTCACCAGCTAGCCAACTGAATTGTCCATGCATGGCCAGCCTGCAGATCTTACCAGGATATTGAAAGGCTGATAAGTTAGATAAATATATATATATGCTTGCCAATAGCTCAACAGGATCATCAAGTTCACCTCTATATGTAGACACAAATTTGTTCTCAATGCCAACCTGCTGTTAAGCACGCCATTAAGCTGGCAGCCATTTTTTCCACGAGATTGTCGACGAACTCGCTGACGAGCTTGTTGACGAACTCGTTGACGAACTCGCCGACGCACTCGTTGACGAACTCGCCGACGAGCTTGCATATTTGGAGCACGCCAACGAGCTCGCCAACGAGCTCGCCAACAAGCATGCCAACGAGCACGCCAACGAGTTTGCCAACGAGCTTATCGGCCGGTGACGAGCTCGCATATTTGGAGCACGCCAACGAGCTCGCCAACGAGCACGCCAACGAGCTCGTAGCTAATTTGCATATTTGGAACGAAACGAGCTCGCTGGCGAGTTCGTCTGCGTGCTCGTCGACGAACTCATTGGCGACCACGCTGACGAGCTCGCGTGTAAGCGTACTCAAATTTGTATAGGGGTTATTTCAAACTACTTCCGGTAATTATACACACTTCTGGTGTATAAGGTGGATGTATGCAGCATGTTACACTTATTATACATAATAATAATTTAAAAAAAAATAAAAACGTTACTTATAAAGCGCTTACCACCGAAGTCTCTAAGCGCTATACACACAAAATATACTGATATACAATTACATCTTATACAAAACTAAAACTAAAAATGCAAATACACCTACAAATTACAATACATATGGAATACACATCAAAGTGAACAGAGTTAATTAATCATCGAACGCAATTTTGAATAAATGTGTCTTAAGACTAGTTTTGAATAGGTTAACGGTTTGACAGTTTTTTACATTTAAAGGTAATCTGTTCCAAAGTTCAGCAGAAGCTTTGCGAAATGAGCGATTACCATAAGAGAGAGTTGACACAGAAGTAGATACGAGGTTTAATTGTGAAGATGACCGTAAATTGCGTGAGGGTTTGTATTAATTCCTCGATTAATTCTTGCAGATAAATTGGTGCCAATTCATGAATGCATTTATAAGTTAAAACTAAGATTTTGTACATAATGCGGTATGTCACCGGCAACCAATGCAATTCGCGAAGTACTGGGGTGATGTGTTCACAAGAACGTGTGCGTGTTACAAGCCTGGCAGCAGAGTTTTGGATTCTCTGGAGTTTTGCAATGTGCGACTCCGGAAGGCCATAAAGAAGGCTGTTGCATTGATCAAGACGGCATGTAATAAATGCATGTATAAGCGTTTCGGTAGATTTTTTATCAAGAAAATTTCTAATACGACCTATCTTGTACAAGGCATATGAAGCTGAGCGACAAATATTTGTTATATAATCATCCATCCTAAGATCATTTTCAAAGATGACACCAAGGTTACGTGCACTTTTGACAGGTTGTATCGGAACATTAGCAATTTCGACAGATGGTAAATGGGAGGACTTTCTGAATCGAGATGTTACATGTATAACCTCAGTTTTATCCTCATTCAACTTCAAATCATTAGCAGTGGACCAAGCTTTGATATCATTTATACATCTTTCAAGTTTAGTAATAACAGAATGGTCGGAATCACGTTTCAAAACAACATAAACTTGGGTGTCATCTGCATATATCATTCGGCCTAAACCATGCGCTTCAATAATATCTTCAAGTGGTGCAGTGTACAGAGTAAATGATAAAGGGCCGATGACGGATCCCTGAGGAACACCTTCAAGTGGAACATGAGGTTTGGATAATGAGTCATTAATGACAATAGATTGTGAACGATTCATAAAGTAGGTTTTAAACCAATTCAAGGCAGTACCTGATACACCATATCTATTACGTAAGCGATCAAGAAAAACATCATGACTGATAGTATCGAAAGCCGCAGAATAGTCTAAAAGTATTAAAACAGCTTCATCACCTTGGTCCACAGCTAACAACAAATCATTATATACACGTAAAAGAGCAGTTTCAACGCTATGAGAAGATCTATAAGCAGATTGCATTTTACTACACAGATTGTTTGATGATAGATAGCCCTGAATTTGAGAAGCACAAGCACGTTCAATTGTTTTAGCAAGAAACTTAAGGTTGGCAACAGGCCGATAGTTTTTCAAAATTTCACAATCCAAATTTGGTTTCTTCAAAATAGGAGTGATTTGTGCCGATTTCAAAACATCAGGAAATTGACCACTTTGAATAGACATGTTTATAATTTTGGTAATGACTGGTAAAAGCTCATCTAAACAGTTCTTAAGCAGCTATGTCGGCATTGGATCGAGACTACATGAAGTTGATGGAGATTTCATTATTATAACTCTGACAGTATTTTCTGATACTGGTGAAAATTCAGGAAATGAAGAATTGCATGAATCAAGCATGGATATGGAAACATCCGTTTTGGATGAATCCTTAAGAACATTTTTGATACTCCGAATTTTGTATGTAAAAAAGTCAGAAAAACGTTCAGCAAGTGAAAGATCAGAATCGCCAGAAGGTAACACCTTGGGTACTTTTGGTGTGCACAATTTGTTGACTTTTTGAAATAGCTGCTTTGAATTACAACCTTCAAATTGTTTTGAATGATCGTTTTGTTTAGATTGTTTGATCATGCGATTATATTCATAACATTGGTTTTTGAAAATTTGTCTGTCAACTTCTAATTTAGAAGCAATCCAACGTCGCTCAAGGCGTCGTAAGATCCGTTTCATTTCATGTAATTTTTCATTGAACCAAGGTGCGTTAGGACGACACCTGATTGTGCGAGTTATTAAAGGTGCGTGTTTGTCTTTAAGAGTCATATTGACAAACCAAGTTGTCCAATTCAGATGCGGGAGATTTATACAGAAGTGAATTTAATATATCAGTGCGAAAGACATTAATATCAATATCGCGAAATTTACGGAAAGAGATTTTGATTTTTGCTGGTTTTGTGCAGTATACATATCCGAAAGCCTTTTTTTCGGCTGCTTCTGACCTCCTTGCACGATTTTTCACAAGTCCATGATTATTCCAGAAGAAATACTCAGGGAATACCACTGCATGTTCATCATTTTGTAATTGTTCTTTCTCAAAATGCTGCATAAAAAGTGGCGATCGTGTAGTGATTTCAAACTTGTCTTGCCTTCCGAGCAACTTTTTCCCTGTCATGCGCTGTGCAGGGATTGTTGGGAATTTTACCCAAGTCAACCTCTCTCATCCAGGGATATCTCTGAAGGTTTTTGGTTTGTTATCGTGAAACCAGCACACAGCAGATTCACAGTATCGCACAATATTCCAACTGACAATTCAGTTTGTAAAGGTAGAAAATTGCTTACGATATACAAATGGTGATTTGGTGATCCCCTCCTTACAAGCCATTGCGGCTTTTTTGGGACACCCTTTTCTTTCATTTATTTGTATTACTAGCTCTTATGGATGTATTACTCTGTTATTTTGATGTAAACATGAAATTATGCATGACATACTGTTAACTTTTTTTTTTTATTGTACATATTGGAAGATATAAATGAGAGCTATATGCTCTCTCAATCAATCAAATAAAGCCGAAGACGAAGTGACAGGTAGCATGTAGGCAGAAAGCTAGCTCGGTGGCTACCGCATCGGCCCGGCCAAGACTGGACAGTACCCACAAGTACACAGCTGCATGAAATGGACTGTAAGCAACTACAGCACCAAGCTATCTCAGAGTGCATTTGAAATCGGGACATGAAATTTACATCCATGCATTTTGGGGCATTTTGGCGATAGCGGGAATTTATCATCACGTATCTACCTTTTTAAATAGCAATGAACTCACCCAAACATGCTAAATCTTCTGATGAGCCATTAATGAATCTGTTCCATTGACCATCACTTCCACAAACAATCGACGATCCATCGCCTTGTAGATCTCTACCAGTAGGGCAGTAAGGTGTGCACATGGTACCTACACTCACGTCATCTGGTCCAGCGCATAAAGACGGATTAATGTTGACATGCTCGGGTAATTCTAGAGGATCGCACTGGGTGGCTGATAAAAAAAGAAAATAACTAAGAATATCATCTGTTCAGAGCCAGCAGGGCTTTAACTCTGTGTTACATTATATGACTCAACTCCCTTCTGGCTCCAAACAGATGATACATGTATAGTATCATAAACATATAATATAAGCTGGAAATTAGTAAATATTGAGAGCAGCAGACATCAGTGTTTCCTTTCCTGAAGAAAAAAACATTCCGAGTAAATGATAAAGGGCCGATGACGGATCCCTGAGGAACACCTTCAAGTGGAACATGAGGTTTGGATAATGAGTCATTAATGACAATAGATTGTGAACGATTCATAAAGTAGGTTTTAAACCAATTCAAGGCAGTACCTGATACACCATATCTATTACGTAAGCGATCAAGAAAAACATCATGACTGATAGTATCGAAAGCCGCAGAATAGTCTAAAAGTATTAAAACAGCTTCATCACCTTGGTCCACAGCTAACAACAAATCATTATATACACGTAAAAGAGCAGTTTCAACGCTATGAGAAGATCTATAAGCAGATTGCATTTTACTACACAGATTGTTTGATGATAGATAGCCCTGAATTTGAGAAGCACAAGCACGTTCAATTGTTTTAGCAAGAAACTTAAGGTTGGCAACAGGCCGATAGTTTTTCAAAATTTCACAATCCAAATTTGGTTTCTTCAAAATAGGAGTGATTTGTGCCGATTTCAAAACATCAGGAAATTGACCACTTTGAATAGACATGTTTATAATTTTGGTAATGACTGGTAAAAGCTCATCTAAACAGTTCTTAAGCAGCTATGTCGGCATTGGATCGAGACTACATGAAGTTGATGGAGATTTCATTATTATAACTCTGACAGTATTTTCTGATACTGGTGAAAATTCAGGAAATGAAGAATTGCATGAATCAAGCATGGATATGGAAACATCCGTTTTGGATGAATCCTTAAGAACATTTTTGATACTCCGAATTTTGTATGTAAAAAAGTCAGAAAAACGTTCAGCAAGTGAAAGATCAGAATCGCCAGAAGGTAACACCTTGGGTACTTTTGGTGTGCACAATTTGTTGACTTTTTGAAATAGCTGCTTTGAATTACAACCTTCAAATTGTTTTGAATGATCGTTTTGTTTAGATTGTTTGATCATGCGATTATATTCATAACATTGGTTTTTGAAAATTTGTCTGTCAACTTCTAATTTAGAAGCAATCCAACGTCGCTCAAGGCGTCGTAAGATCCGTTTCATTTCATGTAATTTTTCATTGAACCAAGGTGCGTTAGGACGACACCTGATTGTGCGAGTTATTAAAGGTGCGTGTTTGTCTTTAAGAGTCATATTGACAAACCAAGTTGTCCAATTCAGATGCGGGAGATTTATACAGAAGTGAATTTAATATATCAGTGCGAAAGACATTAATATCAATATCGCGAAATTTACGGAAAGAGATTTTGATTTTTGCTGGTTTTGTGCAGTATACATATCCGAAAGCCTTTTTTTCGGCTGCTTCTGACCTCCTTGCACGATTTTTCACAAGTCCATGATTATTCCAGAAGAAATACTCAGGGAATACCACTGCATGTTCATCATTTTGTAATTGTTCTTTCTCAAAATGCTGCATAAAAAGTGGCGATCGTGTAGTGATTTCAAACTTGTCTTGCCTTCCGAGCAACTTTTTCCCTGTCATGCGCTGTGCAGGGATTGTTGGGAATTTTACCCAAGTCAACCTCTCTCATCCAGGGATATCTCTGAAGGTTTTTGGTTTGTTATCGTGAAACCAGCACACAGCAGATTCACAGTATCGCACAATATTCCAACTGACAATTCAGTTTGTAAAGGTAGAAAATTGCTTACGATATACAAATGGTGATTTGGTGATCCCCTCCTTACAAGCCATTGCGGCTTTTTTGGGACACCCTTTTCTTTCATTTATTTGTATTACTAGCTCTTATGGATGTATTACTCTGTTATTTTGATGTAAACATGAAATTATGCATGACATACTGTTAACTTTTTTTTTTTATTGTACATATTGGAAGATATAAATGAGAGCTATATGCTCTCTCAATCAATCAAATAAAGCCGAAGACGAAGTGACAGGTAGCATGTAGGCAGAAAGCTAGCTCGGTGGCTACCGCATCGGCCCGGCCAAGACTGGACAGTACCCACAAGTACACAGCTGCATGAAATGGACTGTAAGCAACTACAGCACCAAGCTATCTCAGAGTGCATTTGAAATCGGGACATGAAATTTACATCCATGCATTTTGGGGCATTTTGGCGATAGCGGGAATTTATCATCACGTATCTACCTTTTTAAATAGCAATGAACTCACCCAAACATGCTAAATCTTCTGATGAGCCATTAATGAATCTGTTCCATTGACCATCACTTCCACAAACAATCGACGATCCATCGCCTTGTAGATCTCTACCAGTAGGGCAGTAAGGTGTGCACATGGTACCTACACTCACGTCATCTGGTCCAGCGCATAAAGACGGATTAATGTTGACATGCTCGGGTAATTCTAGAGGAAGGCACTGGGTGGCTGATAAAAAAAGAAAATAACTAAGAATATCATCTGTTCAGAGCCAGCAGGGCTTTAACTCTGTGTTACATTATATGACTCAACTCCCTTCTGGCTCCAAACAGATGATACATGTATAGTATCATAAACATATAATATAAGCTGGAAATTAGTAAATATTGAGAGCAGCAGACATCAGTGTTTCCTTTCCTGAAGAAAAAAACATTCCCGAAATCAAACCTGGAACTATGGCCTAGAACACCAATCCCTTTACTACCATAGGGCCTCAGGAATCTCTCATGCATGTCATGGTCAAGATGACAGAAACATGAAGAAAGGAAAGAAACATCCATACAATTAATTACATTTGCAAACAGCTAGACTAATTTAGTTGTTTTTCTAGATTTAGCAATGACAATCCTTTCTGTTACATTTGCCTATCATTTATACCATATATCATACATTTTTTTCTAGTGAAAATATTTTTAATAATAATGTGAATAAAATACAAAGCGCACACTATGTTTACAATGGAAGAACCTGGGGACTTCATAAAAACACAATACAAAATAGATTGTTACTCATAGATTCGATCAGTTTTTAAGGAAAAAAAAGAAGAAATTATTGGAGCAGCCAAAAGGCATGCACTAGGATTGCCCTTTGTATCAATTAACACCTTACCGGTATGTAATGTCCATACTAACAGTGTCATAGATAGGTAACTGAGAAATATCAATAAGTTGACCACATTAGAAAAGAGGTGGTCTATTCACCATTGAATAAGGTCTTTACCTTCACATCTCGGTGTTGTTTGTGCAGTCCAGCTCGTTGTAGTTCCATCAAAATCACATGTGACCGTGCTAGAACCAGTCAAGTGATAGCCAGGATTGCAGGTTATGTTGCACTCTGCACCCCATATTGTATCACACACACCAGCAAACTGGGCAAAAGACGGCAGCAGATACGAACGGCATCTGTGAACTTCATCATTAACATTCGCATCAGAAAAAACGGTTAAGTGTCATATAAACATATTTTATCAGAAATTGGCTTATCATGCAACGCAAAGTGAGATGTTTCTCCATGGTAAACATAAACATGATAAAGGCTGTAATTCTACTAGAGTTTAAAACTGAGCTCTTGTTCAAAAGTAGGATTAACAAGGGAAGTCATGCAGTCTTAAGTTTTTTTGTTTTTTTTAAACGTGATCAACTGAATTCATAGAATATGGACCAATTGTTACAAGCTTTATTTGTAATAATCATATGATATTGTACATGATAAATATAGTAAGGTAGTTAAAGTGACTCAGTAACACTGCCTCAGATTTCGAAACAAAATCCTGCATTTAGCTTATGCTGCAAGCATAATTATAAACTTTTAGATCAGTCAGGAATCCCATGACTTTTACAAGCTGATAGCCTGTCTGATTATCAAGATATTTATGATTGGAAATTGAAATTTCATTTTTCATTTTCCTAGCGGTTTTTATAACACTACAGCCTATTGGGGAAAATGAGTATGGTAAAACTGGTCACTCAGAGCTTTTACTATTTCTAATCATTTTGAAGCGCAATTTTTTTAGGGCTTCAATATTATTACACCATATCACAGACACTGATATTACGTTGGGCCAGGCATCTCAGAATTAATATTATTAAACAATGCCTCTAAGGAAGATAAACCTCTGATCGTGCATGATAGTAAGTTTTAATATGTTCTTTGTTTTTTGTTCTGTTCTTTTGTTCTCGTTTTCCTGTATGTGTGTTTTTAGCGGTAGGCTTTTATATAAGGAACTTCCCTCCTTTCTGCCTATCCCAAATGCTCTTATAAATCGCCATTGTATTTGTTATCACTTTCTTGTGTTTTTGTTTTATAATTTTTTTATAACTCCATTCTGTATTTGTATGTTTTAAATGTTTTTATGAAGAGTGTTGAATAAACTTTGAATTGAATTGAAAACATAACTCGAGTCTGGACCTGTTTTTGTGATGGTGATCTTGTCTCATCAAATGCGACATACACCGTTTGGATTTGGTGTCTTTACCAAATCCGCCAGGGGAATCTCATCTAACGTGTCCTCATTACCTGTCTGGTAAAATCTAAATCAGAATTAATTCTGAAGTTGAAATAAGTTTACTCTACTATTTAAGTCCTGTTAAATACCAGTGTATACACTTACCCTGTACTGCAACGTCAAATGTACATGTTTTGCTATTTCCTGTAGCATCTGTGGCTGTGCACCTAACCTCAAAGTCACCTTCTCCTGTCAGACCTTGTTCTTTGTTACATGTAACGGTAGGTTCGTCACCACTGTTGTCCTCAGGTGTTAGAGTCCAGGAGATGTTTACCATAATTTCCCCAGGTGAAGGGTTGAAAGTCAGATATGGAGGACATGTAGAAAAGGATGGGCGTTGTATGTCTGTATAAAGAAAAAGTGAGCAGGGAAAGTTTGCCTACACTATAGAAAAATGTACTTCAGCTCAATGAACAAAATGATAAATAATATCATCAAATCACCATCATTTATATAATATATTCTATCTATCTATCTATCAGGCTATAGTTCATCCAGACGTTGGACAAAGCCCTCCTCATAACATTTCCATTCTCTTCTGTCTCTAGCTGTCCTAGTCCAAGCGAATTGTATATCGGATTTATTTGGGGTATTTTTGTAGTACAGTAATGATTTGTCATGGCTTGTTGATTTGGGTGCAGGCATTGCAAATCTTACATGCAATATACACATCAAAACAGCCCCAAGTACTTTGAATGTGTTATTGGACTAACATCTATTGATTCAATAAGCCATTGAGGACTTTCTCACTCGAGTGATTATTCAAATAGCTTCTTGCTGCATCTAGTGTGATAGTGATTAACCAGAGTCCCGATCCAATGAAGAATGAATCCTTTTGATCGAACAGGATCCTTGACGAAGTATGATTATGTCTCACCTTTGCAAGTTGTCCCCTTGAGTTCTCCTGGAGCCCACTGTCCATTTCCCTGACATGACAGCACAGAGAAGTTAGGAGGATCAAGCTGGTAACCTTGTTGAGTACATGATACAACACATGACTGTCCAAAGAGAGGAGCCATTGAACATTCCTCTGGAGTGACTGAGCCCCCGTCTGGAACTTCTAGGACTGAACATGGTGCAGCTAGAGTAGATAAACAAACACCCTTTATGTTTTTAAATGTACAAGGCTTCAACATTTGTTGATATGGAGCCTCCTTGAAAATGATAAAATGGTGTGTTTTACAATCTTTTTTCTCCTGTTTTGGGGTTTGGTAGAATGGAAAACATGCCTAAAAATCATCATTATCTAAAAAACAGGTGATTAAGTCCTGGGAATTACATCTAGTACAGTACTTAGTAAAACATTCAGGTGAATATCTAGAATATTATCTGTTTTATTTGTATAGATACAGGTATAAGAAATGTATAACTTTATATTACGGTATAGGTCTAGTCTAAATAATCTGAGGCACCGAAGTAAGTTGCCCTCAGGCTTTTCAGGTTACCTACTTACACCTGGGTGGAGAGTTGCAAATTTATAGTTAATGCCTTGAAACATGAAGTTACTGTTGGGCTTGGATTCAAATTCCCAACCTTATGATTGAAAGTTACTGAACCTCTAGAACATATACATGACATTTCTACACCTGGCACCTCTCTTACCACTGCAATTGAAACTATTACTGGTCCAAGTTTTATCTGCCTGACAGATTGGGCTGCTATCACCATTCCCTTCAAAACCGTACAGACAGTAGAATATACACTGAGTGCCGTAAACTTCCGTGTTTGGTGGGTTGTTAATGCAGCCAGATTTCACAGCATTTTCTGGTGTTGTCAGCGCTGGGCAGTGGTTTGCTATATTTAGAAAATGTAGTCAAGTCTCATGTAAGTAATAGTTGAACAGTCTTGATGGTTAGTGTACGTAGCACGGCCGCTGAGAGGGCCGGTTGCACGGGGTTGGACCCAAAAAAAACATGTGCCCAAAATTCAAACAAAATCAAACAAATTAATTCAAACAAGTTGAGGCTCAGCACATATGAGGACAAATGAGTAAATGGGCCATTTGCAACTAAGGGCCCTGGCTACATTAATTCTGACAATGATAATGATGATAAAAATTTAAAAAATGTTCTTGTTATTGATAAAGGATGCATTGGAAATTAACTAGTCGATGGGAAATTGAGAGATCATCAGTAAGCAGTAAACAAATTATATATTACGATTCTTGTATATAATTAGAAACCCTAATTTGATATTAATTTCTTTGATAAGAAATGCATTAATTTCTATCATACATTATCAGTATTAGGCGATGTTGCTGCATATCAAGTTTAAATTGATTCCTCTTGTAACTGCCCCGCAATGTCTAATCTTTATCTTTCATAGACAGATAGAGTGTTTATGCGACAAGAAATACCTCTTTTACCAAAAAGTATTCCCCAGCAAGTATACAAATTCATACATAACGGGCTCTTCAGACTTCATAGATTCAACAGCCATTGAAACTAGATGGAACTTCGACTGCGCGCAGTCGAAAATGATGCCTCCGCCATGGAGCAATTTTACAAACCAAAACAGAAGCAATTTTAAAATTTTAAGTTTGATTGCAAGGTTCTCAGAATATCGCGATTACAAGCTATATTTCATATACATGTTTGACTCTTTGATCTTTGACCTCATGACCCTAAAACCTACTCAATTCATGGGCTCTGCAAGATACATACATGACCTAAGTTTGGTGGGAATCCATCGATGGGTTCTTGAGATAACGCGATCACGAGCTGTTTTTGCATACATAATGAGCCCTGTGACCTTTGACCTTGGATCTCGTGACCCCAAAAACTAACCGGTTCATTGGCTCTGCAATATACATACATGACCCAAGTTTAGCGGGAATCCATCAATGGGTTCTTGAGATAATGCGATCATGAGCTATTTTAGCATACATAATGAGCCCTGTGACCTTTGACCTTAAATCTCATGACCCCGAAATCTTTCCACTTTATTGGCACTCCATGATACATACACGACCTAAGTTTGGTGGGAATCCATCAATGGGTTCTCGAGATAACGCGATCACAAGAATGGGACGTACAGACGGACAACCCCAAAACATAATGCCTCCGCTACATTGCGGAAAACCCTATAATTTGGATTAATTTATAAGTACACAAAAAACTTCACAAAAATATCCCCCCCCCCCCCATATAATAATTCTATGACTTGAATGCCTGTTGGACTAACCTTGACATAATGGTTCGGTACCGGTCCAGCTCGCTGGTCCATAATTACCGCTCAATTCACATGTTCTTGTTTCTGATCCTACAAGGTCGTATCCTTCATTACATGAGAAGGAACACTGAGACCCATACACAGGACTAACAGAGCAGTTCACAACAGATCCATGAAAAGGAGCTTGAAGCCGAGGACATCGGAAAACTAAAAATAAAAACAAAATGAATGCAGACATTAAAGGAAAGCAATGCCTAGGGTGTAGACAGTGGCATACATAACCATGCTGAATGTACATACGGTCTGCGTTCTCTGAGCTAGATTTGCAGGCACTACGGACTGACTGCATATAGGAGCTGATAAAGGTAAGCTGTCTGGCCAGAAATGGTAGACCTAAAGAGAACATTGATAAAACTGAAGAGAGACCAAAAAAGGGGGAGAAAGACAGGAACTGACCACTCCTCCAGGATATTCATAGGCCCAAACCTATATGTGACTCTATGTACAACATTTATTGCTGCACTATGACGATTTTAACAAAGAGAAAAATATCAAATCATTGGAAGTAGGATTGCTTTAGATATATATTTGTACCTGTAACATGAACAATAACGTCACAAACTGCCAGATTTCCTTCAGAGTCAATAGCATTGTAGGTCAATCTTGTTGGGGTCTCAGGAAACTTGTTTTCTATTGGTATCATTGATTTCCTGAAAAGGAATAAAAATATTCAAACATGAATAAGTGTACGATCTTTAACCACATATGATGTACTATTAAAATTAATCTAAGATAAATTTTATTCCTCTAATTCTCAACTAAATGATAAAATGGTTCGCAAAATAATTTTGTCTGATGGAACAATAGGCTTACTGGTTTTCACTATAAAATTGTAATAAATTGATGGTATTACTGGTTAATCATCTAAATTGTACCAAACAAACAAGCTGTTCTTGTACACGGTGTGTTAATTATGTAATTTCTCCTCATACATTTATGCCTTGTAAAGGCCAGATTTCATATCCATTCGGTGATATTCAAGCTTTGCATTGGAAAATCAAGACATGTTATTGAATAGTAATGGCCAGGTTCCAATATACTTTAAGATAAAACTTTAAACAGATAATATGTAAAGAAGTGGAAGCACTTTCAAAAAGGGCGATTGCATGCCACTTAAATAAAGTAGACATCGAAAACTAAAGTCTATGACTTATCATAAATGATTTGAATTGTACTTTATGTTTTCAAATTTACACCAATCTTTGAAAAGAAGAAGAGCCCTGAAAAGGGGTGGAGAGTTCCGCCCCTGGTACCTCCACCATGAAGAGTATTGCTGATATTTCACTCAATAAAGGATTTATATGTATTATGTATTGGACTAACTAAAGTAAGTGTTCCCCCGCATATTCAACTTTAAAGACCCACTGCACTACTTATAGCTACTTGCGCCCTCCATATAGCAAACGATGCCTGTTCGTCCCCCATGATCCTGTTTTTCTTATGTTGATTGAAAGCTGCTTTAATGAGATAACCACCTATCAGTGACCTTGCATAGAGGTCTAATCCCCCAGGCCAAACTAGTGCAGACAGGCTTTAAAAGAGCATGGGAGAAAGAAGCAAAATCTAATGTTTCTCATATTTTAACAAACGTGTCAAACAAAATAGATCATTATACACACTAACTGAGAAACTGACAGGCTGTCACTCCATCATTTCTAAGAGACAGTTACTAAGAGACTATTAAATGGTCAAGAGCCAAATAATGCAGATCTAGGCAACTTACAGTGTCAAAGTGAATTCACCAGAATTGTCAGACACTTCAGGTTCCAAGTCACTGATTTCATGTATAGAGGCATAGGTGTATCCTTTATCAGCATTGGAGTACTGATTCGTCGGACAAGGAGGTGAGAAAACAGGTGCTTCATTATCTGAAAATACAAAGACGAGCAAAATAGCTTGCTTAACTGAGATCTGATGGAAAGGGAAACCTATATAGAATTACCTGGTGACATATTTCTTTTTGAAATTTGATGGAAAAATATGGAAATACTAACAAAAAGATTGTCAACTTTTGCAGCATTTTGTGTGAGTTCCGAAGAAAACAAATTAAATTACCGACAAGGGTTCAGAAATCATCATTTTGAGAGAAGAATTCATGTGAGTAAAAAGGGATACCAACTGATTGTATGATATTTTGCCTTCCAATTCAGGCAATTATCTTAACTATCTTGCCATAAATAGCTCTAGTATGTAGCACCATATGAGGTCTAGATTTTTGCTGTCCATTTCTTAGTGACTGATCTATACAAAAAACATAGGTAGAATATGAGAAATCATTGATCGAATAACACATTCACTTTTTTGTAATGAAATGTGCAAAAACGTTGGACACCCCAACATACTTTTTTTGCATGGAGTCTTACCTGTACATGTTACTTCTCGTATGTCATTCCAAATCTCCGTATCTAGGCATGTCTTTTGGTAGACCCCATTCTGTAGGTACCCATTATCGCATGAGAAGGAGCAAAGGGTGTCAAAGAGCACTCCATCAGGATGAGTACACATCTCCGGTGTCACAGAACCATTGTTAGGGGAACTCAACGGAGGACATCTTACCTGGACTATAATAAGAAATGCATTGGATATAAACAAAATGTCAACAATATACCTCTCCACTTATCGGTAGTGCTTTCTTTTCTCCCACTCGCACCCCTCCCCATGCATCAACAATATTGCCATAATTGATCTTTACCATTCTGATTACCTTCTGGTAATCTTCTGTCTTACTACTTCATCTTGCTTCTATGTGGAAAGTAACCCTTAAATGTACAAGTCCATAATTCAACAAATAAAGGACTAGTATGTTTTTTCCGTATTTTTATGTCCATGCATATCCTAGCAGTATTCCACATAAAAATAAAAATTCATTACCATCACATTGAAAATCTTGTCCATCAAATTTGCGATTATCCTGACAAACTCTGGTAATAGACTTCAATCCTTCACTGGTCTTGAATCCATCATTGCATCTGAAATAACATGGATCTCCATAGAGAGCAGATATCGGACAACCAGAAACAGAACCACTGGAAACCGATGGAATGTCACATTCAATTCCTTGATAAAAGGAAAAATGAGAAGAAATATGTTGTACAAGCCGGTTCAAAATAATTACACAGTAAGACACAGAAGTGCTCAGAAAACATACAGAATGTGCGATGACTGTTAAGAAGGAGAGATTAACGGCAACAAACTACTCACACTCCATAATGTTGTGCCCCAAATTTGAGGAACATAAAACAAAGAAAAACCCTCATGAATGCTTTATTGATAAAAAGAGCAATACACGCAAACTGATAACTTTTTCACCTTTTCGTACTTGTAGTAATTTTGTGACTACTCCGGAACCGCAGCAGATATAAAGTTTTCCTTTCATGACTTTTTTCTTTCGAGTCTTACGCATCTTGTGAAGAAAAAAAAATCAGAAAATCGGACATATGGTTACAAAGTCACGTGACCTTTTGTCTTTGCTTGTCAGCCCGAAAATCACTCACTTTTGTGATTTGTGTACAAAACCTATAGAAATATCATTTTTCCTAAAAAGAGATAAAACATTGGTAACTTGGTCTTGTTTAAAGTTTAGGTGTTTGTTTTGGGGTCAAAATAGTTCAATTGTAGTTAGAAATGAAAGAAAACAACAAAAACAATAAAATACATGGGTTAAAAAACAATGAAATATATAAGAAATTATCAAAACAAGGAACAACCTAGCTCTTCCAATTTTTGTTGTATTATTCCAAATGGTCTATCTAATATATCGTCGGCCTTATGCCAAAAGGGCCTTAACCCGATTTTAGGCGTTATTGAGTTATTAACATCACCTTGTAGATTTCATCATTCTCTTTAAAATGATGTGCTTCACTTGTTGTAATTCGATTAATTTATGAATATAATTATGAATTTCAAAGGACCCTTAACGCGTATCTCATCTTTTTCCTTACGCCAAAAAGACCTTAACCTAGGCCTACACGGCAATTTGTTTTTAAATCAATGACAAATTAATTTGTAATTTACATTTAATTCAATAAATATCAGTAGAAACACCATTAAAAACATTATTAGTCTACAATAGATACAATGTACTTAGAATAATCACTGAAAGTATATGTCATGAATTTAGATCATGAATTCTGAGTGAGATTTAAGTTAGATGTGGATGCATGAAATGCAACTGACTCATAAAATATGCAGATGTCAACGGATGGGACTGTGATAAAAAATAAACAACGAAAAAGTTGTCCTAAATGTACGATCTCTAAAAAATAACTCCACCGTAAGCTGCATTTTATTAATAAAAATGTTCAGATATCAAAAATACCTTTTCTAAAATCAGTTTTATCAGTTTTCATGATCCAGTAGCTGTAGCAGGGGCTTTCTGGTAAACCAAACGTGTTGCGAAACAAGAAAATATCTGTATGACAGAAGGGCGCTAACTACGCGCGCGTACGATAACCGCAGGTTAATTAAGGCCCTTTTGTCAGAACGCCCCCCCCCCCCCCCCCCCGGTAAAAACCTGGTCTGAAAAAGCCTGGTTAGAATATGGTTACGGTAAGTGTTCTATTTTCTTATACGTTTCGTTTTCTCCCTCTTTCTAAACCAAAATGTTAATGTATACAAAAGTGAAAACGGTTATTACTGTAGGGAAATAATTTCAATTACGGTATATAAAATTCAATTCAAAGGTAATGGCAATGAGAATCTGCATATAACTACAAATATCACACATAACTTGAGAAAACAGTACCAAAAAAAACCCACGAGGATCTGGTATAATTTCAATACATGTACACTGAAATGACCTTTAAAATGTTATACACTGATGTTTTAGTCAAAAACAGACCCCACATGACAAATTTCCTTTACATTATTTTTTTCGAAAGATAAATTAATGGTGCTCATGGCCTAATGTTTTATTCGAACATACTTACTGATACATGAGCTTTAAGTAAAGTCGTCTGAATAACATATTACTTGTTGATTTCATATTTTGCAACATGTATGCAGCTACACCACCGAAACAAACTGTTGTTCTTCCCTATATCAGTCAAGCCTCTCACAAGATTCAGTGTATCCTTCAAGCAGCAGACATCCAAGTTCGACACAGTTCCTCCAACAAACTCCATTCGATACTCCACTCTCACAAAGGCAAGCATCCAAACCACAAGAAAGCTGGAGTCTACAAAATACCATGCGAACGTGGAAAAGTCTACATTGGTGAAATGGGGAGAAATCTGGAAACAAGACTCAAGGAACACAGAACCAGCTTCAGACTCAGCGATTGGGAATAGTCCGCCATCGTCAAACACGCCCAGCAACACGAACACACCATCGAATGGAATAACAGTCATCTCATCTCCATAATGAAGCACTGGCATACACGACGAATCCGAAAAGCCATCGAAATTCACAGCCACAACAACGTGCCCCAAAACTCAGGATTATACATCAACGACATCTGGAAACCCCTCATCAACAAGTACCCGGTGACTCCTCCTCCACCACTACCTCCACCACCCGCCGAACCCTCAAAGCAGCCGCCAGCCTTGCAGCTACCATGCACAGCAGACTACAACGACGCCTACGTCTGGGACACACACAGCGTCTCGCCGACAGCACACCCCAGCTATTCTCCACTCCTGACGACGGATAGTCAACCTGTTCGAAACGTCGAGCCACTCCCGCCACTCATAATAATAATAATAATAATAATCCGTTTTTTAATGTAGCACTCAATACACCGATCCAACGATGTATCTAAGCGCTTTACAGATATATTATTACCCCGGTCATCGGATTCAGGCTTACCCGCACACAATGTGTGCACATTTTCCACTCCCTGGGGAGCATTCCAGCCAGTCGCCATTTTACAGGCGCACACTTGCTCGTTCAACCACATAAACGTTCGCATCCTACCGGGTACCCATTTAACACCTGGGTGGAGAGTAGCAAGTGCAGGTAAATATCTTGCCAAAGGATATATTGCCGTGTCGGGGTTCGAACCCTCGACCTTTGCATCTACAGTCAAGCGCCTTAAACCACTCGACCACGACTCATCCTCTCCAAGCGCTATAGTTCTCCTAAGAACTATAAGCTAAGAAAGATAACCAACAGTCTTTTTCAAGACTATACCAAACAGTCCTTTTCAGGACTACAAACCCTCAAGAAAGATTACCGAGAGTATTTTTCAGGATTCCTCAATCCTTCCTCTCTCTCACATGGTGCACCCGCAAGCCTATTGTATAACATGTATGCAACAAAATGTTATAAATGAAGCAGTAAGCCTTTGTCACTATCGAAGAAATGTGAACAGCTATAAATCATTTTCATTCAAAATAATTAAAATAACAATAATAATAATAATAATAACAATAATAATAACTATTATAATAATACAAATTAAAATGCATGTCAACAAGATGAAGAAATGAAAATGTGAATATCAATTACTTACGGTTGCAGGATGGGAGTGTATCAGTCCATACTCCAACAGTAGTAGTTGAACTTGATCGATTACAAACGAGTGAAACTGATTCATCTTCAGTTTCGACTGAAAGTTTATAACCTGGCTTACAAGAAACTAGGCACTCAGATCCATAGATGGCCCCTCCTGTACAGCTACCACTACCAGATTCCATCGTTAGTTCACCATTTGGTGGGACAAACAGCGGAGGGCATCTAGTCACTGCAAACACAAAATACAATGTACAAATTTCAGAGAAGGCATAACTACATGTGTCAGATTTATGATAATTCTAAAAAATAATACATAGGCCTACGATGTAAATTCTCATTTGGGAAAGGTAGACAGAGGCGGTCTCCCCCCTTAATGTTCAAATAAAACTATATAATACCACATAACTAGATGGAATTCGACTGCGCGCAGTCGAAAATGATGCCTCCGTTATAGAGCAATTTTACAAACCAAAACAGAAAAAAAAAATTGAATTCACGTTCAATGGTAATCCATTGACAGGTTCTCAGAATATTGTGATTACAAGCAATTTCTCATATACATATATGACCCTTTGATCTTTGACCTCATGACCATAAAATCTACTCAGTTCGTTGGCTCTGCAAGATGTTCTGAGTTAAATAGTAATCCATCTGTCAGTTCTAATGAGAATGCGTTCACAAGCTATTTTTGCATACATAATGGGCCCATGATCTTTGACCTTTGACCTTATGAACCAAGAATCTACTCAGTTCATTGGCTCTGCAAGTAACAAACATGACCTAATTTTGGCATGAATCCATCAATCGGTTCTTGAGATAACGCGATCACAAGCTGTTTTTGCATTCATAATGTGCGCTGTGGCCTTTGACCTTTGACCTACGTGCTCCAAAATCTAATCAGATTGTCTTCCTATGGTGATACACACTATCATTAAGTTTGAAGTTTAAATCTCCAGCGGTTCTTGAGATATTATGATAACAATCTCAATGTATGGAATTTCATAAGTTGACCTCTGTGACCCTTGACCTTTGACCTACGTGCTCCAAAATCTAATCAGATCGTCTTCCTATGGTGATACACAATATCACTGAGTTTGAAGTTTAAATCTCCAGTGGTTCTTGAGATATCATGATAACAATCTCAATGTATGGAATTTCATAAGTTGACCTCTGTGACCCTTGACCTTTGACATACGTTCTCCAAAATCTAATCAGATTGTTTTCCTATAGTGATACACACTATCACTAAGTTTGAAGTTTAAATCTCCAGTGGTTCTTGAGATATCATGATAACAATCTCAATGTATGGAATTTCATAAGTTGACCTCTGTGACCCTTGACCTTTGACATACGTGCTCCAAAATCTAATCAGATCGTCTTCCTATGGTGATACATACTATCCTTAAGTTTGAAGTTTAAATCTCAAATGGTTCTTGAGATATCGCGCTAACAAACTCAATACAAGGAATTTCATAAGTTGACCTCTGTGACCTGTGACCTTTGACCTACGTACTCCAAAATCTAATCAGATCGTCTTCCTATGGTGATAAATACTATTCCCGAGTCTTAAGTTTAAATCTTAAATGATATTGTGATAACGGTCAAACGGGACGTACGGACGGACGTACGGACGGACAACCCGAAAACATGATGCCTCCGGCACCACCTTCGGTGGCGGAGGCATAAAAATGATTAAAATCCTTTACATCATAACCTAGTTAATATTTACAAGTCCTGTGAATGATGGTTGGTGAAACTTGTATTGTTCTTTCTACAATTAATATAACTAACTTAACTTATTGTACAGAACTGGCTGGTAATGACCTCTTCTTTATATTTCTGCAGTCAATCAGAGCATGTTATTGTTTGCATGCTTCGTTCCTTTAGTCTCTGTTTTTATTGTCAGACTTCATTCTTGCAGTCTAATCTGAAGAGTGCAGGAGAGCTTTTCTCTTCAACACTATTCTTCAATTTTGCAGTACTAATCATGTCTAATAGATAAGTTATGAAATTACTTTGTTTTTTTTACCTGACTGCTAAGAAAGCATGCAGGTACTTGTAAGTAAGCAACCAGGGGACCAACGGCTGTAATTCCTTTTTAGCTGCGGGGCTTGGTAATGAGGATAAATGCCTTACTAAAGGGCACTTGGGCATGTACTTGGTTTCAAGCTCGAGACCTCTTGGTTACGAGACCACTGATTTACCATTGAGCCATCACACCTCTGCCTATGAATAAATCCTATAGTACTGTCAATTATATTAAACAATATGCCTGCGATTACCTGAATGAACATAATATAAGGATTAACGATCTTAGCATATTTTTTTGATAACATGGTTTAGACCTCATGGTGAAAAGAGTAAGATCGGGGGATACACCACGCGTATATCCTCTTTGATAGCCTCCTATCCACATGAACAGGAGGCAAATCAAAGAGGTAGATCTTTAATTTGTTACAAACCTTTGATATCCAAGTCGAATGAACAAGATCCCCAGTTGCCTGCATTATCCTCTGCTCGGTACTCTACAGAATGCTCTCCTTCAGAAAGATTACTACCAGACAATAAGTTTGAATCCACCTTGAATAATTCCGCTGTCAAAGTATCTCCAGCATCTGTGGCCTAGGTTTAACGAAAGTATTTAAAATTTCTAAGCAAAGCTCTTTTATTTCGTATATAATTTCATAACTCAAATTTTGTTGTGACTGTCGTAAATCGCACCCCTAACGCACCCCTATGAAGGACTTTCATTTTGCTACGATGCGAATTAGAAGGCGCCAATTTGTGCTTGTCACAAATAATAGTAACAAATTGGTGCTAATTCAGAATCATATTCATACTGTGACCCGTAAATCCGACGTGGAGGTACCTACTAAAACATACCAAAAATCAACAAAATCTTCATCAATTGTTCAAATAATGGTCATGATTTAAAATTTGTTATGTTTTCTTACATATTTCGTGTCAATTTTCTAATCTGTTTTGAAGTATTTCCCCCAAAAGCAAACAGGTGCGTAGCCTTGGGGGGCGATGGGGGGGGGGGGGCGATGGGGGCGGTCGCCCCCCCCCCCCAAAAAAAAAAAAAAAAAAAAAAAAACGCTGGCCAAAAAAAAGAAAGAAAAGAAGAAAGGAAGAGGACGTAGGAAGAAAAAGGATTAAGAGTCGAGAACGGTACAACGAATCGTCTTCTTTCTCCAATAATTTAATAACGTCAAAGCTTCCGCGCTTCACGCTGGGGGGAACTGAATTCAGATAAGGATTAAGAGTCGGGAATGGTACAACGAATCGTCTTCTTTCTCTAATAATTTATGAAATGTCAAAGCTTCTATGCTTCGCGCGGGAGCGGGGAAACTGGATTCAGATAAGGATTAAGAGTCGAGAACGGTACAACGAATCGTCTTCTTTCTCTAATAATTTATAAAACGTCAAAGCTTCCGTGCTTCGCGCGGGAGCGGGGAAACTGAATTCAGACAAAGATTTACAGTCGAAAACGGTAAAACGAATTGTCTTCTTTTTCTAATAATTTATGAAACGTCAAAGGTTCCGTGCTTCGCGCGGGAGCGGGGAAACTGAATTCAGACAAAGATTTACAGTCGAAAACGGTAAAACGAATCGTCTTCTTTCTCTAATAATTTAATGAAACGTCAAGGGGGGGGGGAACTGAATTCAGACAAAGATTTACAGTCGAGAATGGTACAACGAATGGTCTTCTTTCTTCAATAATCTAATGAAACTTCAGAGCTTGGGGAGCTTAATTTAAACAAGGATTAAGAGTCGAGGACGGTATAATGAATCGTCTCCTTTCTCTAATGAAACGTCAAAAGAAACTGAATTCAGATAAGGATCAAGAGTCGAGAACGGTCCAACGAATCGTCTTCTTTCTCTAATAATTTAATGGAACGTCAAAGGGACGAAACTTCCCCCTCCCTGCACCCACCCCCTAGGTAGCGAGCTCTGCGTGCTCTGTAAGTGATTCGCACACTTCACGTGCTCACTACCGCCCCCTTAAATGAAATCCCCCCTACGCGCTTGAAAACAAAGAATTATAATATACATTTTCTCACATGATTCACGGCAAACCCCTGCACAATTCAATTGCATACTGTCTAGCGTAGTATTGACGGTGGTCGGCATGGGGTGCTGGCGCGACTGAAGTTAGGAACTCTAATCTCAGACCCTCAGATCATCAGGCGCGGATCCAGGATTTTCCAATAGGGGGGGGGGGGGGCGGAAGTTTGAAAATTGCGCCGACCGTTTTTTTCAAGGTCATATTAGAAGCACCATACCATTACAATTGTTGACATTTTCATCGGGGGGGGGGGGGGGGGGGGGGACTATAGCCTCTTATCCGAAAAAGTAACTTTCTGGTTTCACAATTCGGCGAGCGATTCGGCGAAAGATATCAAAAAATCATATGCGGGTAGCTCGCTAACCCCCCCCCCCCCAATGACGCGCGAAGCGCGGAAGTTTGACCTTTCATTAATTATTAGAGAAAGAAGACGATTTGTTGTTCCATTCTCGACTCTTAATCATCTCTGAATTCAGTTTTCCCCCTCCCGCGCAAAGCGCAGAAGCTTTGACATTTTATAGTTTAATGAAATTATTAGAAAAAGAAGACGATTCGTTGTACCATTCTCGACTCTTAATCCTTGTCTGAATTAAGTTCAAGTCCCCCCCCCCCCCTCCAGCGCGTAGCGCTGAAGCTTTGACGTTTAATTAAATTATATGGAAAAGGAGACGATTCTTTGTACCATTCTCGACTCTTAATCCTTGTCTGAATTGAGTTCCCGCCCCCCCCCTCCCGCGCGTAGCGCGGAAGCTTTGACGTTTAATTAAATTATAAGGAAAAGGGGACGATTCTTTGTACCATTCTCGACTCTTCCTTGTCTGAATTAAGTTTTCACTTGCCCGCGCGTAGTGCGTAAGCTTTGACGGTTTATTAAATTATTAGAGGAAGAAGACGAATCATTTTATCATTCTCGACTCTTAATCCTTGTCTGAATTAAGTTTTCCCTTGCCCACGCGAACCGCGGAAGCTTTGACGTTTCATTAGATTATTAGAGAAAGAAGACGATTCGTTGTACCGTTCTCGACTCTTAATCCTTGTCTGAATTGAGTTCCCGCCCCCCCCCCCCTCCTCCCGAGCGAAGCGCGGAAACGTTGACGTTTCATTAAATTATTAGAGAAAGAAGATGATTCGTTTTACCATTCTCGACTCCCAATCCTTGTCTGAATTTAATTGCCCCCCTCCCGAGCGATGCGCGGAAGCTTTGACATTTCATTAAATTATTGGAGAAAGAAGACGATTCGTTGTATCGTTCTATATTACACCTACCATGGATAAATCACGGCCGGGAGCGTCATAATTTTGTGTTATCGGGCGAGGGCCGGGGCCGGGGCGTAGCGACCAAGCGAGATTTTGCAATGTTGAATGCTGAAATTATGCGTTCTAAAAAATCCCTAAGCCCGATATGTACGTTCTTTCCGCTATATTTATTTCTAGCTATATTTCTAAATTTCCTGGGAGACTTGTCCCCATATCGGGCCCAGGATCGCCGCCCCTGTCCATGATTACTACCAACATGAGTTCTAATACAATCACAAGCGAGTCGATACGAGCTGAATCCAAATGAAGGGCAAAATAAGAGTTGTGAAGCGGCCCTACCGTTAATTTAAAATTTGACTGTTGAGTATATAACTTCTATTTAAAAGACATCCAAAATATTGTGCCCTTTTCAAATTTCTCACTAAAGAGTGATGACCGCAGGGGCTGTTCTTAACGTTTAACTTTGAATCCGCGGCTCGAGATTTTATGCGGCCGGCCCGGCCCCCCTCTATTCAATAACGTTTGCCAATGAGCCTTCTGGAATGTCCCCTAATCTCCCGATTACAGTTTTCCCATATTTGTCGTTACTGTCACTTAGCGCCATTTCCTTGTCTTTCCCCCTTTCTCACCGACTTTTCTTTTCCCCACCCCTCCCCCCTCACCCTCTCAGTGTTATCTAGGGTACGCACATGTATGTTCCCTCTCTTTAAAAGCACCCCTCTGTCTCCGGTGTGTAAAGTCAGTACGGGCCGGATTTTTGTGTATTGCGGGCCGGACTTTGTTTCGTGAAAAGTAACTCTTTATCGGAAATTTAGGGAACACAATTTCGGTCCCTCCGACCCCGGAGTTGGAGGGGGGGGGGGCTTTTTATTTATCTTTTCTCTTCTATTTTCTTTTCTCTTCTTTTTTCCTTTCTCTTCTCCTTTCTTTTCTCTTCTCCTTTTTTTTCTCCTCTTCTCCTTTCTTTTTTTCTCTTCTTTTCTTCCTCTCTTTTTTCTTCCTTTTTTTGGCGCCGCCAATAGGGGGGGCCGCGGCCGTTTCGGCCCCCCCCCTGGATCCACCACTGGATCATTACAGCCCTTAACTTCGTGCAGGCGCGCTTGCACCCCATCGTCAGTACGGTATGCAATTGTATTGTACAGCAGTTTGCCGTGAATCCTGTGAGAAAGTGTATAGATCTATCACAAGTCTTCGGTTTTAGGAAAAATCGAAGACGAAAGCTTCGATCTCACTTCTCGCGCTCATGCGTGTGTAAGATCGCGCCTATATAGCTAGCTAGCCTGATGATGATGTACGTATCTTCGCACCGTGCCCTTATTCATATGCAGCTAGCCGGGTCGGCCCGAGCCTGCCCCGGCCCCGAAAATGGATCGGACGAACCAGCAGCGAGCCCGAGTACGTCATCAGTAACACTTGACAATTCAATTGATCGAGAACACCAAAGATTTCACGGTTCTGTGATTTGTTTTTAGAGAGGGCCTAATATCACTTCATACAGTAGAATAGAATGAGAGGGATTATACAAATATAAAGTGAGTTTTGAGAGTGAAAAATGACTTGTGATTAACAACTTAAAGTTGAACAAACACTTGATGCGGCTTTGTCTCAGAGAGTGAGCACGTGCGGCCCTCAGCATTTCGCTCGATCTACGTACGCCTAGCCAAGCGGCCCACGTTCGTTGGCGAACAATCAGGTATTCCATGTTAATAATTTTCTTTATCTCTCTGTTAATAGTCTGTATGATTTTCTCTCTCAATATTGCCTTTAGCTATAATGTTAAAAAACTCTATAAAGTATGCACCAGATCACACAATTTCACCTTGAAAAATAAAAAAGCTCCACACCCTCCCCCACTCCCTTGCTGCACTCGGTCGGGCTTGGTCGCTTCGCTCCCTCGCGCTAACGCTTCTCGTATAATCTCACTCTCAACTGTTTTATAATGTTGGCAGCTCTGTAGTATGGATATGATTCTGAATTAGCGCCAACAAATTTTCCCCCGAGTCCAAACAGAAATTCTGACATAGGCACTAGGCTTGTTTGGTTATAGTTTCTGATTGGCGCGTCGACATCCATTGTGAAAGTGAGCTGGGACCATGCTGGCGCTCTTCCGGGAACGGGTGAGCTCAGGCCGGCACAGTGCTACTGCTAGTTGAGTTACATAAATCGAGACGTTAAAAGAAAGAAAAAAACTCTCTTCCCTTCAAATTAGAAAGGTAGGTTAACTTCAAATAGTAGATCCTATTCTTTATTCGCATTATGTTATTTATGTTGAGACACAGAGATGGTAAAAAACCACTAAAAAGTAGCATTTTGAGGACTCAAAATATCTTGTACCTGTCTATAATTAAGACGCAACCCAGACTTTCTAATTTTTCCAGAGGAAAAAAAGTGCGTCTTATACACAGAGATTTACGGTATGTGATATGTTTCATCAACTATGTTCAAGCGACATACTGAGTGATATTTAAGCAAACCTAACATTCCTGTCCAACTCATCAGTGTTCCTGAAAAAAATCCAAAATTTAACTATAAAATAAAGTAAAGCAAGTAAATTTTAAAACACTTCATCAAATTCTATCGTTCAGATATAATGTATGTAAAAGGAAAATTGTAAATGAAAACTTATGTGCTGTTCTTTTAGAATGCCCCAAAGTTATCATTCAACTACAAGGAAACTACTTCCAAAGGAAAACATACAACAGTCTTGCATTGCAATATGGCATGTTTTTTAAAATGAACTGTGGTTGAATAACATTTCAGAAGTTATATCAAATGCCCTTCAACATAATAGTCCTTGATTATATCTGATTGTAGAGATTTCAGGAGATGAGGTGTAAAGTGAATATATATTTCTATTTGAATTATATGTTGTTAAATGTATTTACGAACGGACCAGGGTGGCTAGGAGAGGACTGACTCACCCGCCTAGCTAGTTTTGAGCGAAACTACTTCATGATGGAAAGCCACAAAAGCACTAGGGTTAAAGCCCCTGCCTCTACTAATTTGCCACTTCTTTCCGGGGGCCTACAGAGAGTAGTGCAGCATGATGTGCCAACTCATAAGCCAATTGGAAGAGATGGTGTTGATAAACCACGGAAAAGAGATGCATTACAAACAACAAAAAAGACAATTGGAATAGGAACCTGGAATGTGAGAACGTTACATCAACCAGGGAACCTTGAAATCCTACTTCACCAACTGAACAACTTTAAATGGGAGATAGTAGGTGTATCAGAAACACATTGGACTGACAAGGGAGAGTTTACCTCAGAAGGGTACAAAATACTATGCTCAGGAAATGAAACTCTACACAGAGGGGGTGTAGCACTAATTCTGAACAAAACAGCCCAGAACTCACTCCTAGGATATCATCCTATTTCATCCAGATTGATCACTGCCAGATTCCAGACTCAAGCAGGTGCCATCACAGTGATCCAAGTTTATGCCCCAAATACAGCTGATAATGAAGAACTAGTAGACGAATTCTATGACCAACTTCAAGAAGCAATCAATTCTGCACCAACGAAAGACATTCTGAGAGTGATGGGGGATCTAAATGCAAAAGTGGGAGACGATTACCCACAATGGAAACAAGTTCTAGGCCAACATGGGTTTGGAAAGGCAAATGCCAGAGGAGAGAAACTACTCAATTTTTGTGCAGCGAATGATCTTGTTATCAACAATACCATGTTTAAACAAGCAAAAGCAAGTAGAAAATGGACATGGGAATCACCTAATCAAAAGACTCACAACAGGATAGACTTTATAATGATTAACAGCAAGTGGAAAAGCTCAATAAGCAACTCCAGGAGTTTCCCCAGTGCTGACATAGGCTCAGATCACCAGTTAGTCATCGCAAACTTACGACTGAGATTTAAAGTTAGAGGAAAACCCAAGTTTCTAAAGCGATATGATGTCTACAAACTCAAAGAAGCAGATGTCCGCTCAAATTATGAAATAGAAATTGGAGGAAGGTTTGGCCCACTTCTAAATGATGAAAACACAGATGTGGAAAACCTATGGGAAGGCATCAAGTCAGCATACAGCGAGACATCGACCAAACTTCTCGGAAACAGAAAGAGCCAACCTCAGGACCCTTGGATAAGCGAGGAGGTGCTCCAACTAAGTGATCAAAGGAAAAGGGTAAAGCAGGAGAAGTTAAGTGATCCCACAAAGAGAGCCCACTATAATTTCCTCAACAGGGAAATAAAGAGAAAAAAAAGGATGTAAGGACAGATGGATTCAAGATATATGTATAAAAGTTGATAAGGCACACCAAGCAGCTAAGTCCAAAGAAGTCTACTCAACAATCAAGAAACTCACCAGGAAACCAAATATCAAGATGCAAACACTAAAGAGCAAAGATGGACAAGTACTGACAGAGATAGAGGACGTAAAAAGGAGATGGAAAGAGAGTTATGAAGAACTCTATAACAACCAGAATCCCATCAACAAGGATGCAACTGAGGGAATTGCACAGATGTCTAATATGGAGGAAGAGCCCGAAATACTCAAAGAGGAGGTCATTAGTGCCATAAAAAAGATGTCAGATGGAAAGGCCCCAGGCTATGATAGTATAACAGCAGAGGAGTTAAAAGCATCCGGAGAGAGGGGCACTGACATCCTTCACAAACTCTACAACCTAATCTGGAGAAAAGAATCTTTCCCAACTGACTGGGGCAGAGCCATTATAACACTCATATTCAAGAAGAAGGATAAGCTTGATTGCGGAAACTACCGGGGAATCAGCTTGCTTAGCCATGCAGGAAAAATATTTGCATCAATCCTTCAACGAAGAATCTTGAAGAAGACAGAAGAAATTTTATCAGAGTCCCAGGCAGGTTTCAGACCAGGGAGATCAACCATAGACCAACTGTTTACACTAAGACAAATTGCAGAAAAGCACCTTGAAAAGAACAGAAGTCTATTTTGTTGTTATATAGACTTCAAGAAGGCGTTCGATTCTATATGGCAGGAAGGACTTTGGAAAGCTATGGGATTCTTTGGCTACTCAAATAAGCACATCTGACAGACTGGTTTCAAACAACTGTGGGTGTACGCCAGGGCTGTGTATTATCGCCACAACTATTCAACATAATCCTAGAAATGGTTATGTTACATGCCACCTATGACACCCCTATTGGAACAAACATCCAAGGCCATCTGATCAACAACCTCCGTTTCGCCGACGACATAGTTCTTCTTGCATGCAACGAGATAGATCTCCAATCCATTGTAGATCGTGTACACCAGTGGAGCTAAAACTTTGGCCTCAAAATCAATATTGCTAAGACAGAGGTCCAGGTCATCAGCAAACAGCAGCAATACATTAACATCAGCATAGGTGGAACCAAACTACTACAGGTGGAAAAGTTTGTTTACCTGGGAGGTACCATCACTCAATCAGGAAAATGTACAGAGGACATAAAGAATAGGATTGGAAAAGCCCTGGGTGCTGTTCAAAGTCTTCACAGCATATTGACAGCCAAAGACATTAGAGACGTCACAAAACTTGAACTATATAAGGTACTCATCCTATCCATCCTTATGTATGGATCAGAAACATCGACACTGAAAAAAGAAGATGAGAACAGGCTCCTTACCTTCGAAATGATCTGCCTCCGAAATATCTTGGGTGTAATGAGACTATAGATAAAATAAGAAACACAACAATTCGGAAGACTCTAGGACTGGATGAAACCATTCTGGACAAGATAGCCAAAAAACGACTGCGATTCTTTGGCCACGTCAAAAGGATGAGACCATCACGATACCCAAAGATACTCCTAACTTCAAATATTCATGGTGATAGACCCCGGGGCAGATCAGCCAAGAAATGGCTTGATTGTGTAAAGGCTGATTGTGCTAATAGATGTCTGGGATCCCTCACAGAAGCGACCAGAACGTCACAAGATAGGAAGATCTGGCTTGAGGTCATGAAGCAGAAGTCATCATACATCTCCCAGATGGTGCGGAACGCTTAGGTCAAGGTCAAGGTGGGTCAAATGTATTTTATAACCGAATAAATACCTCTGAAGAGGAAATTATTTTAAAAACATCAGTGTTCCTGAGATGCAGTCCCCACGTAAGTTATTTCAACTCGCCCATCCAGTCGGCCGGATGTACTCACGTATCTAATATCACATTGACACACCCTATACTTTACACACTTTATTATTATACAATACACCACACTGCTTCACACTACATCACATTACAACAACACTACCATTTTTTCTTAGTCGATTAATTGATTCTTTGCTCAATTCATGTTTGTTTTGTAATATTTTTCTTTCATGGTTAATATCGCAAACAACTTTGTTACGTTTGAAATCTGAGAAGCATCATAGTCAATTTCAGCAATGGCACTGGTTAACCTTGCTCTGTCGATTTCCTTCTCTTTTTAAAAACTTCTTTGATATGTTGCTGCTTTTTTTCTGTTGACTTTAATTTGTTGATTTGCTTATCGTTGTTTATCATTTTGTTTGCTTTGGAAAAATTTAAGATGAAAAAAGCCAGGAGCCGAGCACGAGCTTTCAACCAAATTGTGACCTGCGTCATGGTTACATCATGTACAATATACAGATACATGTACATGTACATGTAAATAAACATAAAACGGTTCAACCGACACGCATTAACACATATCAATAGAGAAGGAGTAACCCACTCAACCTCAGAATAGTTTGCTTTGCTGTCAAATCAATTACCTGAACAGGCTCCCATTTGTCAGCAAGAAATGTTGCCTCCAGCTGGTTGTAGTCTGCATAAAGAATCTGATCTGAAGGACACGTAACTTCCGGGTCAGTTTCATCTGGAATAAACAAATAAAACAAACAGCAATTGAGAAAAATATATAATTCCTTGTATTTTACAATACATGTAACACAACACAACAACAAAACAATGACAATGATTTGGAAACGTAAAACAGAAAATGCAGATATCAGTCAGGTATATTTTGCACATGGCAAAAACAATTGAATGATTAAGGACAAACCTTGACAGAGCTGATCAATGCCATTCCAGGATTCATCCTCCATACATCTACGAGTGATGCTGTACTGTGGAGTGTAGCCAGGATTGCAGGATGATTTGCAGATTGTGTTATAATGTTGTATGTGATTGACGTTGGTGCTTGATCCATCGTTTGTACATGATATGATTTTACCATTGACCGGATCAGATAGTGGTTCGCAAGTTACATCTAAAAATAATGAATTGATAAACATTTAAAGATATTGGACATAGTCTATGTATACAATATACATGTTTCATTTATAGAGCATTGTCATGTAGAAAACAGAAGAAAGGAAGAAAAAAATGAAGGGAAAATTAAGACAGGTATGATGAAATAATCTCACTGTTGATTAAGACAAATTCTAACTCTACATTTTTCTTTCTTCAGGCACATAAATCTAGGGATCACACTCCGTGCACATGCATGCACAGACATGTATCTCCATTGTGGCAGATATTCAGAAGATCGTACAATAGGAAATTGCTCATGAAATAAATTTGATGCTGAATATATAATTATGGGGTGTCAAGAAATCCATATTTTTGCAATACTTCTGCATTTTTGGTAGAAAATACATGTACAATCAAAAGTATGCCCATGATTTGTTCACTTTTTACCTCAAGTGATACATATAAAATTAGTGTCCCACTGAAGATAATTATTAGTACTCATGACAAAAAAAAAGTGAAAACAATAATAAACTCTTTATTTATTAATGATGGTGTTCCTTCAAAAATATGATTGCGTTTTGTCAACCATGTAATTGCACATTAATTTGTTCACCTTAAGGAAAAAAAAAGTCCCATATAGATCACAAATCTGGCCAATATTTCTTTACCTATCACTCATGAATTATGTCTTTGCTTTATGTCTTTGGTTACTATATCTTTGGACCAGATAGCCAGACAGTATAAAATGTAAATAATAACCTAAATAATAAGACATATTTCTAACATGCCTAATACTAAGTTTCTGGGCCAAACCTAAAAAGTCAATTTCACACTGGACATTGATTTCAGTTGTCAATTCATGTGTCCCCCTGTCTTCATTTTGATTACAGACCTATCCAATAATATATTTCTCTTTTCATTATTTTTTTCTTCTTCAAATTAAATTATAATTAATAAGCAGTGGTACGAAGGAACTTACAAAATGAACATCCAGATTTAGAGATGGGAAATAAATCAGATGTTTCATTTTTACAAATCTTTGAAGTAAGTAATTATCTTCTGGTAAATCTTACCTGTACATGTGATTGTTCCACCGCCTTCCCAGTAGCCTTTGTTCTGTTCATTTGCAGCACAGGTACGTTGGAGAGGATCACTTTCGTTAACCGGTTTGAAACCAACATCACAGAAGAGAGTGCAAGTGGTTCCGAACTGCTCTTCTTGGAAAGGGCATCCATTCTTTCCCCCATTTTTGGGTTCAGGGAGGTATTTTTTGCATTTGATAACTATCAAATTCAATTTGGAATGAAGAGATGAAAAAGGAAAATATATCAAATAAATACACATACAATAAAGAGAGAGATAGACAAAGACAGAGACAAATACAGAGACAGAGGAACTTCTGCTTCGGCATATTAAATAACAATTTATACATAAAAGTTGAAATAAAAGTATTGCTTGTTTTACAATTTGTGTCAAAAAGGCTTTAAAGCATATTATCTTTTGACTGAGAATAATAAAGTGGGTCAATCAGAACACCCCCTCCCCCTTCTCCAAATAATCTTTGTTGCAGATGAGGTGTGCTATTGTGACGTCAGAGGCAAAGTTTTGGTTATTTAAGTTTAGCCGTAGAGGGCAGTAGCGAGTTTGTTGGGCAAACTAAATCACATTGTTGTAGTGTGTTATCGGCACTCAAAGTGCACCATTTTGGGGGTATTTTTACACTAGCCCAATTTCTTGTGAGTATATTCACTGACCTCCATTTGTTTTAATATAATGACTATTGTTGTGTTTGATGCTATTGGTGATAAAAATGGAGAAATATAAGTGGTGCATAATCAAGTAAGGAAATTGTTGCACACGTATGTAAATTCACGTTGTGTGTTGGAGTGCTGTTGTGTATAAAGTCATCGGGTTAGAAAGAAGCTCAGTAAACGTAAAGAAAACAGATATGAATATGACAGAAATTGTGTATTATTATTAGTTTCAGTGGATTATGTTAGAAATGTATGCACAGTATGCGCAAATTATAAGATCAAGTTTGAGTTTGAAATGGAGTCAAACACAGCATCTCATCAATGAATTGTTCGACTGTTCCAAACTTGATCTTATAATTTGCGCATTACTTGAAAGAAAAATTCGCTAAACGGCATGCTGCAATTGGCAGCGATTGAAGAGCAGTTGTATATGTCATGGGGGTGGGGTAGGTGGGGGTGGCCTTCAATTTGTGTAACATCTCTGGAATGACCCACACCATAGTATTGCTTTGACTTCTTCTGAATCAAATGTATGTAAGATAACAATTACGTTCACCTTCACATTCTGGAATGGGTTGGAGCCATGATCCATCGAGGCCACACTGAATGACTTCATCACCATTGAGTGCGTATCCTTCGGTGCAGCTAAAGGAACAAGTCTCGTTGACTGGGACATCAGGGGAATTGGCACACAATGTGTCATCACTAACTTTCAAGATCCCGTACAAAGGTGGCCTGTCACAAGTTTGCACTGCAAAGAAAGGGATTGGTTATCTTTGTCTCAGATTCCTGGATTTAGATCATGCTGCAACCATAATTATAAACCTTTAGGTCAGGCAGGAATCCCATGACGTTTACAAGCTGATTGCTCGTCTGATTATCAAGATATTTATGATTGGAATTTCAAAAAACATTTTCCCAACAGTTTTTATAACACTACAGTCTATTGGGGGAAATGAGTATGGTAAAACTGGTCATTCAAAGATTTTTACTTTTTGAGGCACTTCATGATCATTTTGAAGCACAATTCTTCTTGGGCTTCAATAAGTACACCATATCACAGACGCTGATAACACGTAGGGCCAAGCATATATCTCAGTTTTGGCATTGTCAAACAATGCCTTTAAGGCAGTGAGTTCTAGAAATTATGTGCAGCTTCTGCAAAAACTGTTGCAGTTCTCGTCCTTGATTCGATCATCCCATATTGCAATGAGATGATAATGGACAAAGATTATCTCCCAATACAGGGCATGTAAAAAAAAATATAGAAAAATAAAAAAACTTTCTTCAGAACTGACTTCCATGGAAATAGACTCCTGATATATTTTGTTTGAACTTATAACTCTTCATTTTCAGTTTGGGAACATGTATTTCATGCTGAATAACTAACCTTCACAAATGGGCATGTCACCAAACCATACACCCTCATGAGTCTTTGGGGGAACTGTACAATGCAGTACACTATCCGTAATCATGTACCCCGTGGAACACTCGTAAAGACACGACGAAGAAACCCTTGTTTCGCAAATACCAAAAGAAAATTTGCCATTCAGAAGTGCAGGTGCTGGAAGACAGTGGATTTCTGCAACAGAATAGAAAACATCACAGAACAAATGTGAATCTCGAAATGGTTGGAATCGCTTTTATCATTTTTGCGTTCATAAATATAAGATGTTGTAGTCTTCAGTGGACTAAATTCTTGATTTAGGATGCAAATTTCGTGATTTTAAGCATTGACAGGGTGATTATGTTAGTATTGAATCTACTTTACTTCTCTTTTGCAAAGGGTATGTAATGTTACGAGATGAGGTGTAATACCTTAGTTACACCGATGCCAGACCGACATAGGGGTAATGTAATTTTTTAGTCGGTCTGTGGAGAAGCAACCAACGAAGGAGAAAGTGGACCCACCCTATGACACGTCACAGACTATAGAATCAAATTCACGGAATACATGGAATAACTCTGGCAAGGTTGTATACGAGAGTGCAACGGACCGCTCTGAGGATGTCTTCAGCACCGACATGTATGAGGATCCTACGCTAAGCGACACCTCCCCGCCTCAGCTACCACCAAATGTTGAAAGTCTTCTCAAAGCCATAACCTAAAGATTTGAGCAAATGCTACACAAGTCTGTCGACAAGGTCATCTGTTGTAGCGTAGTAGTGGCGCCTCAGGTTACACTGTGTGAGAGCTCTCCATGTTTTCATTAACTTTTCCATTACTATTGATTTTGTCAGAATTTTCTTTCTTTATTATTATTTTTATTTATTTCACCCCAACTTTTTTGTGCAGAGCATACGGTAACTCCATGATCTGTCAAATCAATTTCTTTCAATTTTGGCACAGTCATAGGTCAATGTGAGAAGATGTGTCTCCAATATTTTCACGTTCATTAGGTCATCGTGATGTCATCCAGGCGCCAATTTGTGAAATTTTCTGAAAATCAATTCATGATCATATTTTCATAACAGAAAGTCAATTATCATTCATATTTATCACGATTAAGGTCAATGTCCATCCGGTTAAATTCAAGTCAATAAACGCGCGTGTAAATCTGTGCGTCAGTGCGCACGCACATTTTTTAAATGCTCCAATCGTCTCAAATTAGTTTTGGATATTACGTGTTAGGCCATTTCGAGCATTTTGAGTCACGTAATCGGCAACCACAGCAAATTCTCCCATCCATCATGTTGCTTAATGCAATGTCACTTTCTAACAAAGTCGATGACCTTCTAGCAGTGGTTGATACACTGTGTAAGGATGTTCATTTGATTGCAGTGACGGAGACATGGTTTTCAGAAGAAAACCTGCTTCTGCACGTACTCTTCAAGGATATGAACAGTTCCATCATGATCAAGAAAGCACTGGTGGAGGCGTGGCACTTTATGTACGTGAGGACATGAATGCTACTCGAGTCTTTGATGACATTGTCCCTCTACATCTAGAAGTTCTGAGGGTCAGGTTGAGATCATATGTCTTCCAACCATAGATAGGGAGGAAGTCTACAAACGGCTCAAAAGGTTGAATGCATCGAAGGCTGGACACATACCCCACTGATGTCCCCATTTGACTCTTAAAGGAGTTTGCGTATGAACTGTTATTAACCCTGCCCATCATCTTCAATAACTGTCTTAACAATGGTCACTTCCCAAGCTCTTGGAAAACTGCATCAGTGTGTCCTGTTCCGAAGACATCACCAACAGTCACAGAGTACAATCAGCTTCGGCCAATTTTGATCATACCGATTATAGCACATGTTTTTGAAGGCTTCCTGGCAGAATGAGTGATGGCTGATATCAAACACCAAATCGATCCAAAGCAATTTGGTAATATGAAAGGCAGCTCTGCGTCACATTACCTAGTCAGCCTGCTTGATGATCTCCAACGGGGCTTAGATAAGCCAAGTCATCATGCCACGATTTGTACAATCGACTTCATGAAGGCCTTTGACCTCATCGACCATACAAAGGCTCTACAGAAGCTGATTCAACTGGATGTGATAGGTTGTTTTCTCACGCAACGTACGCAGACAACTCGATATTGCGGTACATTGTCATCTGAGCAAGAGCTATCGTGTGGGGTTCCACAGGGAACCAAACTTGGTCCGGTAATCTTCCTAATTATGATCAACGATGCCGCCGAGACTAGCTCGAAGAGATGGAAGTATGTTAATAATAATAATAATCATTTAAAGTCCACTCCAAATTTTATTAAACCGAAAATGGAAATTCTTTTTGCCCAATTGATCGTGAGCCCGGCAGCCACTGAGCAGCGCCAGATCGACGTTGCTCTATCCCCTTATGTTGAACGCCAAACAAGGTAGCAGCAACTCCCGTCTTTTAACGTCTTTTGGTATGACGTGGCCGGGGTTCGAACCCACGACCTCCCGGTTGTGAGGCGGACGCTCTACTGACTGAGCCAAAACACCTGTAAATGTTGATGACGTAACTATTGTTGAAGTTGTCCATAAAGCAGAGTCAGGTCATTTACAGTCTCATGTGGATGCTCTTTCTGCATGGAGTGGGTTGAATTCAATGAAACCAAACCTGAAAAATGTAAGGTGATGTATGTAAGTTTCCTGGTAATGGTCCACCTTCACCAGTGATTTGAAGATTGAAGAGGAATGAAGTTCCAACCAATGATTATGTGCTAATATACACAATGTATATCAGACCATTGATGGAATATTGTACACCAGTGTGGAGCAGTAGCCTGACAACACAGTAGTCAGATAGCATAGAGCGGGTACAGCGTAGGTGTCTCAGGATGATATCATACCCTGATCAGCATCACTATGAGGAACTCCTGAGCAGTTTCGGCATTCCCTCCCTTGCCAGGCGATGAAATGACTTTCTCAGTTACCAACTTTGCCAAATCAATCCTTGTCTCCTCGCGACACCGTGATTTGCTTCCAGCTGAACGGCAGCATTTCTCGCAAGGTGGGCTTAGGAATTCCAACCACCTACACATTCCTTATGCAAGAACTAAACGATACAGAAAATCAAGTGTCCCCACACTTGTTGAACTGGTCAATGCTCAGTTGTAGATTAATGTATCCTATATTTATGTATTTGTAATAAATATTTTTAGAGTTTTGGGTTTTGTTACTTTGTTAAACTATATTTAAGATCGGTCCCAAAATCAAAATATCGTGCACATATTCTTCATTTTTCTAAGAAATTTAGCTTTGATCTACTTTTTAAAAAAGTTGTTCTTAAACTACCGTGTATAATTCTGCTGTAATAACTCAATTGTAACTTAACTTCAGTTTACAATGTAATGTGAAAACTAAAAAAAACTAGAAATTTAATTCGTCATGGGGACGAATTAGGTGGTCTGTCTTCAAGTCTTATGAGAGATTATAATATTTACTATATTGAGAAAGGGAGAAGTTATATAGACATGTAAACAATGATGATCATCATGATGATCATGATGATGATGATCTTGATAGTAATGGGGATGACGATGATGATGATCATGATGATCATGATGATGTTGATGATTATCATCAACAGACCACGATGACATCAGACTGAACAAAATTAGAGAAGATTTAGATAGCGTATAGTCTCAGCAACAACATACTCAAAAATCAACAAAAACCAAGCAGAAATAACAGCGATATTGCTCGCAAAAGACAAGAATGTAGAATCCAGATTTGAGAAAAAGTCATCTCCCATAAGGATTACACGCCAAAAGTAATGGATCTAGTGATAATAGGGTAATAATAAAGTAAATATGGTTGTTTATTACATTATTTGCAATTGTACGTGTTTTAATATTCAAAGGAGATGGTAGAGTGAAAGGTCAAAAAGAAAAAAAAGTGAAGAAAAAAAATTGTTGGAGACGCCCGGACTCGAACCAGGGACCTCGAGGTCGGAAGTCAAGTGCGTTACCGATATACCAAAACATTTCCCATAGAGATTACACGTAAACGGAAAATGGAATTATCAAATCCCACTTTGTATGTGAGATATGAGCATGATCCCGGCATCTGATCGAGAAATAAAGGGCACACTTGTGATAGCTTATTGTCTCAGCTACAACACACTCAAAGCTCAGCGTAAACAAAGATAAAACGACGGAGATATGGCTCGCGAAAGACGAGAATGTAGAATCCAGTTTTGAGAAAAAGTCATGTCCCATAGAGAATACACGCAAAATGTGAAAAATTGACATGCCTCCTTTAATCGCAAAAATACGCCATGATACCATTGTCAAAATGAAATATCGTGGTGACTGCTTTTGTAGAGAATATTCTCAGGTAGAACATATCAAAATTTGAAAGAAAATTGATCAATATTTAAAAAGATACAATCAATTTTCCAAAAATCTGCTGACGTCATAATATGCAAATTAAAATTTTGAGTTCGGAGGCCATTATGATGACGTCATGAGTTAATTGAGGGTCAAATTACACATGAAATCATATCTCCAACTCATGCTTTTTCCAACCATGATATAAAAATTGGGATCAATTGATTATCTGAAGAGCTATTTTGATTCTTAAAATGTCATGTTTTTGATCAAATTTGCATTATATTTCCCATAGCAGCACGCGCGGATTTTGAACTTTGACGCGCGCTCACGGCCTTATGAAAGGTCAAGAGTGACTGAAATTAATGTAAATTGTCATTTACGGTAAGAGGAATCTAAATCATGTAAAAAAAATTAAATTTGACTTTTTACGCGCGCTGTGAGCGCGCGCAACGCGCGCGGGGACACTTACGGACGGAAAATTTTGAAATGCTTAAAATGACCTGAAACGTGTGCAAACAAAATTTGGGACGAATTGGAGCATTTTAAAAATTTTAAGCGGGCGTACGTGCGCGTCGAGGTGCGCGCACGAATTTTGTTGACATTTTTAGTTGACCTTTGACCGGAAGTTGATGTATACTAAATATGGTTTATTTTTGATTACTCGTTATTGAGATATGATAATGACCTGATTTTTACAAAATGGCGCCTGGATGACGTCACGATGACCCCATGAACTTGAAAAAGGTTTCGGGAACTTCATATCATAGGGCCTGATGACTAGCAGAAATTTGAAGGAAATTGACCAGGTCGAGTTCGAGTAAACGTATACACAAAAAAAGTGTACGGAATAAATAAAAATAAATAAAGAAAGAATAAAGAATAAAGAATAAAGAATAAAGAAAGAAAATTCTAACGAAATCAATAGGTGATCTGTCATCGACAGACCACCTAATTATAAGAATTTGTGTATGCTCATAGGCATTATACATCACTTTATATGATATGCTTTAATGGTATATTTGTAATGTAATAATTCCATTCAATATAATTTGACCTAATCTGTCCCAAAACAGACGAACCTGCATGTATACTTTTTCAGTTTATGGAGCTCATTTTAACAATTGCAATATAATTATTTCCTCTCTATATTGTTTTAGATTATGATTAATTGCAATAATTGGTTCAACATTTCAAGTTACTTTTATTCATCCATCTACTAGTAACATCATTAGCAAAATATGTATATAGCTTGAGGTATGAACAATTATGATGACTTTATTTTTTATCATTTTGATTGTACATGTATGATCATCCTGCGTTTATGCACATTTTATTTGAACATTGCATTATTGGTCCTTTAGACTACTGCATTGTAAATTGTATATGTTGAATTGTTGATATTAATAAACCGATATTGAATTGATTTGAATTGAATCAAGATGCTTCAAGTTGTTGAGGATAGTTTTGCAGCTTCTCTGGAATTCGAGCTCAAGCGAATAGATGAGCTCTTTCTTCATCGTCAGCGCGTTGAATCAGAGTTTTCTGAGTTAGAGGCTGAAGTATCTAAGCTAAGAAAAGAAGTGAGCGAGCATAATGCCTAGGTCAGATTTGCTCTACGGCTAGGATACGGTGGTTGTATGCCCCTGAAATCTAGATATTCTTACGGCGGCCGCAGATAATCTGCTGTGGCCTCAGGGTCACCCTAGGGCGTATCCCTATCTTTACAGGCCATACGGGTCGCCGTAGGATTATTACTGTTTACATTTCTAGGTTCGCCGTAGCAGCCATGCCGTAGAGCGGTTCCATGGCGACCGTATATCGGTCATAGTGTAGCCTTACGTTTGATATACTCCAGGAGTGAAGCGAAAGCATTAGTCTGGCCGCACCTTGCGGCTACCTTGCATCTGCCTTAGTATTTGTCAAAAAGCTACGGCTGCCGCAGGGACGCCCTAAGGCGACCGTGCGTCATCACTTCAAAGGCCGTACGGCAGTCGCAGATTTCCTGTCTCCACATTTTCAAAATACGCCGTGCGGCTACCTCAACATATTTGAACGCTACCTTATGTGACCGTGGGAATGCTGCGGCGGTTCTATAGTTGCTATTGGCCGTAGATATTTTAGACCGCACGGTCGCCGCGGCAAATGTGACCTAGGCATTAGGAAGCAGCTAACAAAAATGAAAGATTCAGTAGGAGAAACAACATCAGGTTGGTCGGCATCTCCGAAGCTGTAGCTAACCAAAAGGATGACTGCATCGGGATCGTTGAAGGAATCATTGGCAGCAAGTTTGCAATCAAGTAGTTGTGGATTTCCTGCTGGTTACTGGACACCTTTCCCCATAACTTTGTTGCAATTGACCTGGTCATTACATTTGTATATCAATTTACCTTTACAATGTGGAGTGAGAACTAGATTGGACCACTCTCCTTGCTTGGAATTCAGTCCGCTGCTTTCGCATATGGCATGGTCATCGCCCTCAAGGTAGTATCCAGCAGAGCAGGAAAAACGGCAGAAAGAGCCTCTACGAGATCCATGGCTGCAAGAGGCATGTAGACCTACTTGGAAAGGTATAGGCTCACAACGGATCTCTGCAAAGATAATATTGAAACCAAGGAAGAAAAGATAACAATCTTAATCCTTTGAGAGCGAGCCCGCGCACAGCGATTGTTTCCCCTGTGACGGAGCGATTTCGGTTACATCGCCAGTAATGGAAAATTTGGCGGTGCTTTCTACTTTCATTGCGCCTCATTCAGTCATTTTCGTGATTTTTAGTAAATGTAAAAATGAAAGATCAGACTTTTTCCTTTCTAAAAATGTAAGTTTTGTTTATCGTTACGAAAAATAAAGTCTGTTATTTTTGAGGGGAATTGCCGTCTTATTTTGCTGAAGCTTCACGTCTTTCCTTTTCTATACACTCACAATACAAATTGCGTAAGCACCGCCGCACGCGCAGATCGGTCGATATCTCCATTCATTTCCCCATTGTCAATGATTGTCGTCTGCTAAAGCTCGGCCGATTATCAACCGAGCCATAAATAATAGGCCTAAGCCTTCGTTTTACATGGGTTTTCGACACATTTTGTAACTACATATTCTGACCAACATTATGCTATGATCTACACTAAATAATAATAATAATACATAACATTTATTAGGCGCTTAATACTGATGTTTCTAAGCGCACAGTGTTCTGATTAAGAGAAGACTATAACCCGTAGAATTAAATTAGAAGAAAAAGCAAAAATACAAACGTAACATAGATAAGGTAAGAAAAACAGTGGCAATCAACTAAATAAAGACAAATATGGTGCGCACCTCCATTGACCGACGCACAACTGCAATTTACAATTTGAAAAGATAGGTTTTGAGTAGAGATTTGAATTGAGATACAGAGGGGGCGCAGTGAATAAAGGCGGGCAGTTTGTTCCAGAGAGCGGGGGCAATAACTGAAAAGGCGCGGTCACCATACCGGGTGTTAGTGCGGGGTCCAGGTGTTAACAGTAATGTGGAAGATGAACGAAGTGTTCGTGACGACGTACGGGAACGTAAGGATATGAGATCGGAAAAGTAAGAGGGGGCTAAGCCATTGATAGCTTTGTAGCACAGGAGAAGAATTTTGAAGGATATGCGGTGGTGAATTTTAAGCCAATGTAGTGAGTTCAATATTGGAGTTATGTGCTCTGATTTACGCGAGAGAGTCACAAGCC